CCCTCCTTCCTTCCTTCCTTTCTTCCTTCCTTCTCCCTTTCTTTTTTGGTGTTCTTTGCTTTGTTTTTGGTGGGCCAGGACTTTGATAATGCCAGGTGGGCATTCTGCCTCTGAACTGTATCCGTAGTCCTGTTTCTTATTAATTATCAATATTCTGTAGTTGTTACACTCCATTTAGGTTTAGAAGAACCCAAAACAAACATTTGATTAAAAAAAAAAAAGCTCACAGGACTGTGGTGGTGCATACCTTTAGTCCCAGTATTTGGGTTGCAGAGGCAGGTCTCTGTGAGTTCGAGGCCAACCTGGACTACAAGAGTGAGTTCCAGGACAGGCAGAATAATGCTGTCCGGAAAACCCAAAAATCAAACCAAACCAAAAACCCTCATTAAAATTGTTACCTTTTATAGCGTTTGGTCAGGACCACTTTGTCTTTAGGTAATAAATGGAGAAGATGGCAAAGAAGGAATTCTGGAAACATCTAAAATCATTTTTTCCCCCTCTCTTGAAAATCTAATATTAAGATGCAGATGTTAATGAAAGGACAGGTAATTTCTAGTTCTTTCTCTTAGTAAGCTGCCTTTAAAGATTCAACCCCTCTTGGCAATTTTGAAATGATACAGTTGGTTTCAGTCTTGGCTGCATTTTAGAACATGTTAGAATCACCTGGGGAGAAGGAAAAAAAAAGCCAACTCCCAGGCTACCGTAAGATCAATACTGGAACTGAAGGAAGAAGTCAGACAGCAGAAATGGTTCACAGGCTGGCCATAGAGTAGCTGCCTGCATGCCAGAGGCCCTGATTCTAATCCAGTAAACCCGTATCACCACCACTAGAAACAGGCATCAGAAAACACAATTGCTCTTTAGATTGTAGAGAAATCTAAGTGAAGCTGGCGGCGAAAGCACCGAGATGGTTGGGCTAATGACGGGGACTCTCTGAGCCACGGCTGCTGAAGAGGGTATTTTTATTGTTCACCGTGTGTGCACTCGTGTGTGTTTGCTGTGGATATGTTTTTCGGAGTTGCAATTTGAGACAAGGTACATGCTTCACAAGACAACAGGAAATGTCCACATTTAAAAAGCAAATCCTCAGATGAATTGGTGATAAACAGGCTTTGAGCTACCATGAAACAATAATGGTTGTGTAATTCAGCTTGAAGGCATCAGCCTTCACCAATTTCAGTTAACACCTCCTGTCCCCAGTGCTGCCTAACCTGACTCCTAAAGGGTTCGTATTCTCTCTAGTAAAGAAGCAACTGCTGTTCTACACACAGGAAGTTTACACCTTCACAGAACCACATCAGATAAAATTGTCAGACACCTAGCAGAACACATTTATTTTCTTTCTGTGGCACAAGAATCATGTCCACAGGTTTGGGGAAGTAGAGAAATTATAGTGGAGAAAGTCCCAGCTTTGATCATGAAGACAGAAACTAAGTGCCCATAGCAAGTAAATCATAATGCTACCGGAAATGTTTGAATTGGAAAGCCTGAAAATTCAAGCAATATTTATACGACTGCTAGGCTTAGGACAGTTAATTGTGATATCCATATAAATGGACAAATAAATTATTCAGCAGGTGACTTGGGCTGGGGATGTAGTTCAGATGCAGAGTGTGGCTAGCAAGCACAAGGTTCTGAGTTTGATTCTCCAGCCTTCAAATAATTATATATATATAAAATTTGAATATATATCCAAAAGAAACTAGTAATAATGTTAACTTTAAAAAGTGCTAAAACTATTCAGTTTCTACAGATAAAAATCCACAAATTAAAAGTACAGACTTTTATCTATGTTATTTATACAAGTAACTAGTAATGACAAAATTAGATGAATCTAGGACCCTTTAGTGCTAATAGTGAAAACATAAGTGGAGTAAATTTGTATGGCTATTAAAACTCAAAATTGGGCTGAGAAACATGGGAACACAGTTGTGGGGAGCTGAGTGTGAATCTCAAGAACTCATATAGAAGCCCAGTGCTCCCACTGAGAGGTGGGAGGTAGAGACAGGAGAATTCCTAGAAGCTACCATGCCAGA